AGATTTGTTCATGTAATGCAGATACATTTTAATTAATATTTTATTAACTTTTTATTGTTTTAATATTTTAATTTGAAATAATCTCATACATGTAAAAAAACTATAAAATACTACAGCATATCATATGTGTCCTTCACCCAATTTCTTAGGCGTTAATAATTTAAACATAACCATTATACAACTAACGGAATTTGGAATATATTTTTCTTATAATCTCTTTAATGTTACTTAATCCATTTACTTTGTTTTTGTTAATCTTCACCCAAGGATATTTTTCCATTGAATTTTAGAGAGAGTGAAGGGAAAGGGAGAGACACATTGATTGGTTGCCTCCTGCACATGCTCTTCTAGGGACTGAGGATCAAGCCAGCAACTGAGGTACATGCCCTTGACTAGAATCTAACCTGGGACCCTTCAGTCCACGGGCTAATGCTCTATCCACTGAGCAAAACAGGCTGCAGCTTAATTCATTTACTTTTAATCTATATGTATCTTTATTTAAAGTGGGTTTTATTTTTGATTCACCCTCATAATCTGTCCTTTAATTGGTGCATTTATGCCACTGACTTTCAGAGTGCTTACTGGTAGAGTTACTACCATATCAGGCGGCTTCTGGGTCTTCTCGGTCCCGCCCTGTCTTGCCTTCTTTTCTTCTTTTTTTCTAAGACATTTCAACTTATTTAAAAGAAGCCAATATACAGGATATAAAGGGTATGATATTTACAACAGTACAGTAAATAGGTTGGTTTCCCAGTAGGATCAGTAGTCTTTCAGTGAGTATTAACCCCCTTTCCCCTTGATGCTCAACCCAGCTGGCAGACAAACAGCAACAGTGGGGTGGGATGGGACTGCAGGATAGAAAGTCTCCCTGAAGGGATTAAAAATCACGTAGATGATAAAATGTCCACGAAGGGGTCTTGGGGGTGGGGGTGCCTCTGACTTATTTCTTTGAGGGCTTGGCAGAAGGAATGCTGACGGGATTTGCCCCAAACTAACACACGGCCCACCCTCAGCCTGTAAATCTTTCACCCATGGAATATTCCCTTCCTGAGAGAATCAGCCCTATCCCTCAGCCAGTGCCTGGAGGAGCCACCCAGGCTGTGGACACAGCCAGGACTGTGGACATTTCATGGCCTTTCCACTCCCACTCCAGCTGCCTAATAACTGCACTGCTCCCCTTGCCCACCTCCCCTATCACTCCATCAGGACACTGTGCACAAGAGGTTACACTGGTTTTCCCATGCACATTGGGAACTGGCTGTTTCTGTTTTCTGGAGTGAAAAGGTTCCTGTGGGTCGGGTAAGCTCTCTGCTTGGCAAGAAGTTCTGTAACAGAGCCACTGACCACACCTACCTCCTCTGGGCATGGAGCAGCTCCGGCCCTCAGAGCTCATCTCTCCAGCAGAACTGAAGGGAAGACCATGTATACCCTTCTGTCCCTCACCCTTCACATGCCCAGAACCATCAGTGTCACACTTCCTAATTCCTATCACTGTATTTCATTAGTTCCATACTGTTTTACTAATCATGAATCTAAACAGATTGGTTCAAAAGGAGATCCTTCTATTTTTAAAGTAGCTGGGGCTTCTGGGGGAAGGCCTTGCCTTGAAGCCTGGACTGCTGATGAACGGAACCCAGGCCTCAAAACAAGACCCACTGCAGGGGCTTCTAGGGGCAGGCCTTGCCTTGAAGCCTGGACCCGCTGATGAACGGAACCCAGGCCCCAAGGCAAGACCGGCTGCTGAGGCTTCTGGGGGCGGTGCCTGGCCAGTCTGGGTGAGGGGCTGAGGGCTGTTTTTAGGCTGCCTGCACCCCCTTTAGGGTGGGGGTCCCCTTTGGGGTGCCTGGCCAAGCCTGGATGAGGGGCTGAGGGCCGTTTTCAGGCTGGCGGGTGATTGAAGCTCCCAACCTCTCCTTTTTTGCTTTTTTTTTTAGTCTGGGTTTTATTTACCTTCTGTGGCTGTCACAAGCTGAGAGCCGGCTTTAGCTCTGAGGCCGGTTCCAGCTTGAGGTCTCAGCTGCTGTAAGCGGGTTATCTGGGCTTTGTTTAGCTTCTATAATTGCAACATTGTTGCATCTGGAGCTCAGAGCTGGGCTGCCACAGGCCGGGAATGTTGGCTTCCTCCGTCACTGAAGCAAGCAAGCCTCCTGTTCACTTCAGCTGCCTGGCTGTTGGCTGCCATCTTGGTTGGCAGTTAATTTGCATATCCTGCTGATTAGCCAATGGGATGCGTTCGGGGGTATGGTCAATTTGTATCTTTCTCTTTTATTAGTGTGGATTACTGACTGTGTATCCTGTGCTATACTTTTCATTCCTGACTGTTCGTATAAAAGTCAATTTGTACTTCTTGTTGTATTTTAAGAAGCTACAGAAGTCATATTTTGAAACTACATTTTTTTGAAATCTTAGCCATAATTTTGTATTCTTTCTTATTCCTATAGGTTTTTGCAAATCAAATTAACTTAGATAAGGTACCATTCTCTTTTTCGGATTACAAACATAGTGATTTCGTGGATGTATTTCAAGAATCTACAGAAAGGTATGACTAATGAGCTTATTTAGTTTTCTGTTTATGCCTATTAATAGCTATAACTCCTCTGAGGGGATATAGTGAATCATGGCTCTCAAATGTTTGGTATATTTCAAGATATAGCTCTTTGTAATAAGTACAAGCTGATTTGGCTAGAAATAGAATGTATTTATGATCTCATAAATATGGTATTAACACAAGAAAAAGATATGCCTACAAAATTTCATTTTTGTCATCTCAGCAATTCCATGTTTCCCAAGCTCTTGTAAATGTGTCTGGAGCTCCTGAGGGGCCATTGTACTTGAGGTAAGGTAAAGCTTGGTGCACAGTGACGTTTTATTAGAAATTATGGCTGGTTCTATAAAGAAAATAATATGCTAGAAACAATGGGACTCAGCTTGGTGATTTTTTTGTACTTTGTATGAAAAAAATTAAAGAACCAAGAGAAAAATAAATTTACATCAAGAAAAACAAAGAAACACTGGTAGCAGCTCTTATGCTCATAAAATGTTCAGATTTAGGTGTTATGTGAAAAACCATACCAAATAAGGAAACATTTTATTGAGTCATACTTCCATAGAGATTGCTTAGTAACATTACCTATAGTCACTGGGATAATACTATAATAATGTGTACAGTATAAATCTTTTATGTTCAACTTTCAGAAGTACATTAAATGACAAAGCTGTATTCTAATAGCATGTCCTAAGCAGTAGGTACTAATTATATACTAAGCAGTGTTTACAAATACAAAATATTGCAGTTTACAGTTTAATTAGGGGAACACATAAAAAGACAAATTTAAATATAATGTGGTAAATATTATAGTGCCAATGCCCAAGGACTGTGTGTACAGAAGATAGAGAACTATGGAGAGACGCGTTCCTTATCAGCTCTGTGAAGAAAAGATTCTTAAAGATGGCTGGCAGGAAATAGAGAAGGAGAAAAAGTAAGAAATCTGAAATTACCCATAGAAGCAAAAGAAGAAAGCATTTATTTTTTTTAAGGTTAAATATTGAAATACATGAGGGAAAGTAGTAGAGATGACAATGGAAATGTAGACAGGGAGCAGGACTGCAGTGAGGGGGAGAGTGTGAATGAGTAAGGGAGTGACGGGTGTGTGGGTGTGGACATGTGTGGTGAGTGTGTATTTGTGTGTGAGGGAGAGTTAGATCTCACAGGAGTCGCAGAGGCTGGCAGATCAGGCTCTCCTGGACAAAGAACCCCTGCTACTGCCACAGGCACTCCCTGGGCAGGCATGGCTCTGACAAGGAAATCATGCCATCTTGAAGAGGGCAGCATTGGTGCTAGGAGCATATCCTCACCATCACCAGACTAGCCTTGGATACCACCTTGGACCCACACAATGAACCACTGGCCAGTGGGAACTCGCAAGAGACCCCCATTGCAGAATCTGGGACCCCCACAGTGAGTGGCCTCCAGGACCACGCAGTGAGTGCACACCAGAGGGACCTTGTGCACAAACCTGCCCAGACTCTGGGATCATACAATCAGTGCACACTAAAGGGACAGTGTATATGCCACCCTGCCATCTGCAGCTGACCTGAGGGACCAGATAAGTGAGAGAAGGGAGTACAACTCAGAACAGAGACAATCAAGGCGTGAAACTCAAGGCATACCCAGCCTCTGGGTTAAGGACTCCATGACCACTGGACTACTAGGGGCTTCAATCTCTGGGATCTCAATCAAGTTGCCCAGGGTCAAAAAGAGACAGCGATTCATATTCTCTTGCACTAGAGCAGCTTCCAGGAGACCTAGATAGACACCAAGGGACCAGATTCAACAATATCAGAGCAAAATCTAGTGAGTCCCAATTTCACTGATAGCAAGTCAGAGGAGAAATCCTTCCTACCAGCAAGACATCCATAATTAAGTGGATAGGAGAACACATACACCATATTCTCTGAAAGCTAAACCATCACCTCTTCCTCCTAAAGCCCTGTGAGGAACAGACTTTTGAGTGATTAAGATTGACAGCTGGCTGACAGGTGAAGGCAGGCAGAGGCAAAGCCCAGGGAGCCAGCAGAACTTTGCTGAACCAGCCCTGAGTTTTTTAAAATATATTTTATTGATTTTTTACAGAGAGGAAGGGAGAGGTATAGAGAGTTAGAAACATCAATGAGAGAGAAACATTGATCAGCTGCTTCCTGCACAACCCTCACTGGGGATGTGCCCACAACCACGGTAAATGCCCTTGACTGGAATTGAACCTGGGACCCTTCAGTCCGCAGACCGATGCTCTATCCACTGAGTCAAACTGGTTAGGGCTCAGTGAGAATTATAAGGAGCTGAATAAAAAAATACACCAACATGGATAAGAATCAAGAGGAAATGAAGAATGGCATGCCTATAATAAATAACACAGTGGAAGGTTTCAACAGTAGACTAGAAGAAGCCGAGGACCAAATCAACGAGTTAGAAGATAAGGTAGAGAAAAACGCACAGAGTGGCAATTGGGGAAAAAAATTAAAAAGCAGGAGGAGAGTTTAAGGAAGTTTAGGGACAACATAAAATGAAGCAACATCTGCATAATAGGGGTGCCAGAAGGAGAAGAAGCAGAACAAGGAATAGAAAGCCTGTTTGAAGAAATAATGACCGAAAACTTCCTTGACTTGGGGAAGAAAAAGGTCACATAAGTCCAAGAAGCACAGACAGCCCCAGTCAAGATGAACCCAAAAAGACCCACACTAAGACACGTCATAATTAAATGCCATGTGTTAAAGGCAAAGAAAGAATCTTAAAGGCTGAAAGAGAGAGACAGGAAGTTACCTATAAGGGATCTCCCATTAGGCTATCAGCTGACTTCTCAACAGAAACACATCAAGCCAGAAGGGAGTGGCAGGAAGAATACAAAGTAAAGAAAAGCAAGGGACTTAATCCAAGACACTCTATCGAGCGAGACTACCATTCAAAATTGAAGGAGAAATCAGGAGTTCACAAACAAAAAAAACACTAACGGAGTTTATTACCATCAAACTAACAACACAAGAAATCCTAACGAGCCTGCTTTAAGAAGAAAAAATAAAGAGGGAGAAACACAGGCATAAAGAATAAAAATGGCAATAAACAAGTACCTATCTATAATAACCTTAAAAATAAATGGATTAAATGTTCCAATCAAAAGACAGGGTAGTCAAAAGATTAAGAAAACATAACCCATACTTATGCTGTCTATAAGAGACCGACCTCAGAACAAAGGACTAACACAGACTGAATGTGAAGGCGTGAAAAAAATTTTCAAAAGCATAAACAAGATTGATGAACTTCTAGCTAGACTCAATAAGAAACAAAGAGAAAGGACCCAAATAAACAAAATCAGAAACAAAAAGGGGTCAAGTAACAACTGACTACACAACTACACAGAGTCATAAAAAATACTATGAACAACTCTATTGCAACAAACTGGACAACCTTTACAAAATAGACATATTCCTAGAAAAATACAATCTTCTAAAACTCAATCAGAAAGAATCAGAAAACCTAAATAGGCAGATAACTGCTGATGAAACTGAAGCAGTGATAAAAAAAAAATCCAGCAAAAAAACCACCCTGATCCAGATGGTTTCACAGGAGAGTTTTATCTAACATTCAAAGAAGAACTAACACCTATACTCTCCAAACTAAGAAAATCCAAGAGGAAGGAACACATCCAAGCTCTTTTTATGAGGCCAGCATTACTCTAATTCCAAAACCAGATAAAGACACTACAAAGAAGAGCATTACAGGCCAATGTTTTTGATGAACATATATCCTAAAATTCTCAACAGAATATTAGCAAATCCAGCAATATATTAAAAACATCATACACCATAACCAAGTGGGATTTATTTCAGAGATGCAAGTATGGTACATTATTTGCAAATAAAAGACTCCATAAAAATTTACTAGATTTAATAAGTGAATTTGACAACATAGCAGGATAGAAATTTAACACCCAGAAATCTATGGCATTTTTATACACCAACAATGAACTGACAGAAAGAGAAACTAAGAAAACAATCCCATTTTCCACTACATAAAAAACATAAGGAATAAACTTAACCAAGGAGGTAAAAGACCTGTATTCCAAAAACTACAGAATGGATACTGTATGTAGAAAATCCTAAAGACTCCATCAGAAAACTACTAGATGTAATAAATGGATTCAACAACATAACAGGATATAAAATTAAAACCCAGAAATCTATGCCATTTTTATACACCTATAATGAACTCTCAGAAAGGGAAACCAAGCAAACAACCCCGTTTACTATTGCTACAAAAAAATTTAGATACTTGGGAATAAACTTAACCAAGGAAGTAAAAGACCTGCACATGAAAAACTACAGGACACTGAAAAAAGAGGTAGAGGAAGATATAAACAGGTGGAAGAATATACCATGTTCATGAGTTGGTAAAATCAACATCATTAAAATATCCATACTACCCAATGCAATCTACAGATTCAATGCAATCCCTATTAAAATACCAACAGCATATTTCACAGCCCTAGAAAAAAAACTATCCAAAAACTTATGGAATAAAAAAAGACCCCAAATAGCTGTAGTAATCTTGAGAAAAAAGAATAAAGTTGGAGGATTGCAATACCAGATATCAAGTTATACTACAGAGCCACTGTACTCAGAACAGCCTGGTACTATCACAAGATCAGGCATATGGACCAATGGAACAGAACAGAGAACCCAGAAATCAACCCAAGCCATTATACTCAATTCATTTTTGACAAAGCAGACAAGAGCATACAATAGAGGAAAGATGGTCTCTTCAATAAATGGTATTGGGAAATTAGCAGATACATGCAAAAAAAATGAAACTGGACCACCGACTTACACCATACACAAAAATAAACTCAAAATGGATAAAAGATTTAAATCTAAGACATGTAACCATAGAAATCTTAAAAGAATACATAGGCAGCAAAATGTCAGACATCTACACCCTTGTGCACTGCTGGTGGGAAGGCAGATTGGTGCAGCCACTGTGGAAAACAGTACGGAATTTCCTCAAAAAATTAAAAATAGAACTCCCATTCGACTGTCATGAAGGATAGTTTGACCCAGTGACCCCACTTCTAGGAATATATCCCAGGAAATCAGAAACACCAATCAGAAAGAATATATACAACCCTATGTTCATAGTAGCACAATTTACAATAGCTAAGATTTTGGAAACAGCCTAAATTCCCATCAGCAGATGAATGTATTAAAAAACAGTGGTACATCTACACAATGGAATACTATGCTATAAAAAGAAAATAAGGAACTTTTACCATTTGCAGCAGTGTGGAAGGAACTGGAGAGCATTATGCTATGCAAAATAGCCAGTTGGAGAAAGATAAACATGATCTCGTTCATATCCTATAATAAATGCCTAATATGCTAAGTGTCCGTCTGGTCTTCTGTTCAACCAATCAAAGCATAATATGCTAAGGCTACTCAACCACTCACTATGATGTGCAATGACAACCAGGGGCAGACAGTTGACCAGTCGACAAATCACTATGTTGTGCACGGACCACCAAGGGGCAGATGCTTCAACCAGTAGGTTAACTTACTGCTGATTGGGACTGAGCAAGATGGGACAGACATGCCCTGGACCCCTCCCAAGACCCCTCCCAGGCTGGCCAACCTCCTGCGCCCCTCCCTGGCTCCAGTTGTGTACCGATGGGATCCCTCGGCCTGGTCTGCACCCTCTCCCAATCTGGGACCCCTGGGGGGATGTTAGCCAGTTTTGGCCTGATCCTGCAGGCCAGGCTGAGGGACCCCACTGGTGCATGAATTTCGTGTACCAGGCCTCTAGTGTAGGATATACAGTAATGAAAAATGTAAACTGATGAATAAAAATAGATCTAGAGACATAGAAGCATTGACAGACTGTAAAACCTCAGAGGGAATGCCTCAGAGGGGAGGGTGGGTGGTTGGGAAGAGATCAACCAATGAACTTGTATGCATATATGCATAACCAGTGGACATAGACAATAGGGGGATGGAGACCTGGGCTATGGGGTGTGGGCAGGCTGGGAGAAGTCAATGGGGGAAAACAGGGACATATGAAATACCTTCAACGATAAAGAATAAAAAGAAAAATAAATAACTTAATTTTTTTTTTAAAAAAAAAAGAGGAGAAAGGGACCACATAGCCAACATGCTAAAGTTATGTGTCCAGGAAGGAGCCTTTGCTTATTCTGAAGTTGGTAGACCAGTATAATTAAATTTTAGTGGGAATTTTTTTCTGGACATTAAAAATTAGACTCAGAAGTCAAATAATAGGAGGCTTCTGTTAAGTGGGTTGTAAGTGTAAGTACAGCAGGAGCCAAGAAGATAGCACAAGAGAAGAAACTGAGTCACAGTGAGAAGTTGGGAAGCAAATGGAAATGAGTGTGGATTTGTATTTGCAAAGTCTGTTAGAAATAGAGCAGTAGTTAGATTGAGATAGAACCTTTGAAGGGTTTTCTATCTTTGCAATGAGGGTGAATCAAGTATCCTTATAATATTAAAGAATTTGTAGGTAGGGAGAGATTTTATATATATAAAACATATATATATACACATATGAAATTTTAGAAAAACGTCTCATGAGACAGAGGCATTGTAGTTGAGAATGTGGAAGGATAACTTTTGAACAGGAAGAAAAGAAGGAGTAATGAAGAATGTTGACGCATCTAAGTACACATTTTAAAAGTAAGTTGAAAGAGTTCTGGTTTTCTGGCCTGCATTTTCTAGAAGTGGCTGCATTTTTACTACAGCAGAGGGTTAAGATCAGAACTACATGCAGGTGGTAGTTCAGGATTAGCTGCAGTGGAGGAATGGTAGAGAAAACCAGTGATATACCAGTGTTTTCCAAAGGGCTCTCTGTTGATATGAGAAAGTCGAGTGGCCCTAGTGCTGCCCTCCCACAGCCTAGGGAAAGGAGGAAAGCAGGTGGGAGGTGGATAGATCCGAGGCAGCTGGTTTGCAAGCCAGGTAAAAGTTGGAGGAGATGGAATTTGTGATCAGACATGGGGATTTTGGAATTCTCTTTGGAAGTGGGCCAGCTCCAGGCACTGACAATGGAATTAGGTGGTGGAACAGAAATGCCGGTGAATGTCAATTAATAACTACTGTAGATTATCAGAGATTCTTAAATGCGTAAGTTCTTTGATACCATGAACAAATATGTGCATTTATTTTCTAGTGAGAATGAACATGGTATGTGGACAGCCGATGACACCTACCTCAGAGACAAGTGGATCAGCGATGATGAGCTTGCAGGGCCGTCGCACGCTGTACCCCCGACTGGGCATGGTATGACTGCACCCTGTTCTGTTGCAGGTTCTTGAGCAGGCTGGTTTCAGCGCCGTGCACAAAGGCTTTTCTAACACAAATGCAGGAGAGAGCTAGGCAGACCTTTTAAAATGGGAAAACATATTTTGGGGGATTTTCTTGCTGCACACTCCACATTCATAAGGGCGAATTTCTATTCTTCCTTTAAATATTTTAATATATAAAACATGACATTAAAATGAGCTATTTTATATTTTCTTAAACTAGCAATTATAGATTTGTATAGACTTGAATATGACCTTTCTCATCCACCTAATGTTAATTTCTTGCATAGTATGTACTTTGTAAATAAAATACTAATTTTGGATTACACATAATCACATATTGTGGAGAATAAAGAAAATAATTATGTATAATAAAATAATAATACTGAAGAATATTCCAAGTATTTTCTTTATATATATATATTTAAATATATATTAAGTATCAGAATTTACTTTTTTTCTCTGCTGAATACCATTCCACTCCATGACTACACCAGTTTTATTAGCCATTCACCAGTTGAAGGACATTTGGGTTGATTTCAGGTTTTGGCAATTATGGATAAAAGCACTACAACATTCACATTCTGTTGGGCTCAGTGACACCACCAGTTTTACTGGTGCCATTACCTTGTGGAAAATGGCATACCACAGGGTTTACCTCAGTGGTTCTCAACCTTTTGGCCCTTTAAATACAGTTCCTCATGTTGTGACCCAACCATATAATTATTTTCATTGCTACTTCAAAACTGTAATGTTGCTACTGTTATGAATCATAATGTAAATATCTGATATGCAGGATGGTCTTAGGTGACCCCTGTGAAAGGGTCGTTCGACCACCAAAGGGGTCGCAACCCACAGGTTGAGAACCACTGGTTTACCTTAATGTCTGTTCTACCCTTTACTTTAGGTCTCCCATTGTACCTGCACCTAAGAGAAGGCTCCTATCTAGGATCTGGTCCACTCCTTAGCAATAGAGTGCTCTTGTTGTAATTCTGTTGCATGCACATTTGGTTGGAGATGGGATTGGCATTCTCTGTTGTCCTTGTTCAGCCTTATCAGAGCATTCCTGGCATGGTGCCTTCTCAGATATTCTGTCCTTTCTTCAGGATTGGGGGAGGAGTTACTGTCTGAGTCCAAGATGCTTTCCTACCTTCTCTAACCCCAGTGTAGGGCGTAAACCTGTGCTTTGAGGGTAATAGGGTTTGCTGCCCTTTTCCCATTGTCTTATGCTTTGGATCCCTAAGGACTATAGGGGGAAAATACCTGGGTAGGGCTTTATGCCTTTCCTGCAGAAGTGGCTACTCCACTGTACAAGCTTGCACCGGAGAGAGGATTTATTGAGTTCTTTGCCTTATCTCCAGGTTTTATCCTGAGCTTCTGATGAAGCCATTACATGCATTATCTTTTGTTTTTCCCCTCTTCTTTTTTTTAAGGATATCCAACTGCCAGCTTAGGCCCTGGGTCACTAGTAAATAATATTGAACTATTTCTCAGCTCTTTTCAAAATATTTACCAAAAAACTGGAGATCATTTATAATTTAAATGATAGTTTGATCCAAGGCAAGAACTACAAAGACACCTCAATATATATCTTTTGTAAAAAACAGCAATGCAGTGCTAATATACATAGATAAACATTGATTTTTCACTTTTTGGGGCGGGGGTGGAGGGATTAGTGCCCTTCTAATTTTTATTGTTGAAAAGTATTACAGATGTCCTCCTTTCCCCCCATTGACTCCTTCTAGCTAGCCTGTACCTGCTCCCACCCCGTCCCCAGGCCTTCACCACTCCCCTTTTCTTTTTATTAATTTATGTACACCTGTCTTTGTCTTATAAACAAGTCAATTTTAACTATATACCATATTTATTGCAGTGTTTAATTCTTAGTTCTATAATGACATGCTTTTGACATCTAATTTATTCTTTACCTCATTCTCTTGTTTCATCTCATTTTGCCCTGTTATTTAAAACTGGAGGCCCAGTGCATGAAATTCGTGCATGGGAGGGGGTGTCCTTTAGCCCGGCCTGCATCCTCTCCAATCTGGGACCCCTCGGGGGATGTCCAACTGCCGGGTTAGGCCTGATCCCTGCAGGACGTCCCGGCAGTTGGACATCCCTCTCACAATCTGGGACTGCTGGCTCCTATTCACTCACCGACCTGCCAGCCTGATCACCCCCAACTGCCCTCCCCTGTAGGCCTGGTTTCCCCCAACTGCCCTCCCCTGCAGGCCTGGTTTCCCCCAACTGCCCTCCCCTTCAGGTCTGGTTGCCCCCAACTGCCCTCCCCTGCCAACCCAATCACCCCCAACTGCCCTCTCCCGTTGGCCTGTTCACTCATAACTGCTTTCACCTGCTAGCCTGATTGCCCACAACTGCCCTCTCCTGCCAGCCATCTTGTGGCAGTCATCTTGTGACAACATGAGGGTGGTTATCTTGTGACTACGTGAGGGCAGCCATCTTGCTCAAGGGTGTCGTGCGAGGGTGTGATGCCACCTAGGCTTTTATTATATAGGATAATTAACATTCTTATTATTTCTTCCTAAGATGGTAGAGCTACCATTTAGTTTATGTTCCATTCAGGATGGATTGAAAAGTTTTGCATACCATATTGCATTACTCATTTTTCCTCACATCTCATATTTTATTTTCATCTTGTTCACTAACATGTATAGCTCTACATTTATTTGATTTTTATAATTGAGCATGAATGAATTCTTCTAGACTCTCATTCCATAACTCTTGAAACTAAAATCTATCTTTATAAACTATACGATGAGAGCTGGATTTTGCTTGAGGACAGTGACAGTGTGTAAAGGGTTAGAGAAG